GGGCCGGCGTGAAATAACCACTGCGTTGTGTTTCGCTGTGTGAGTGAGGTTACCGGAGGCCCAATCCTTCTCCTTTCCCAATCCCTCCTCAATCCCTAAATCTCCAAATCCCTAATCCCTAAAAGGTCAGCAACGCACTCGTAACTCCTCCGTTACGAGTGTCCATGGGCGGCGCTGATTGCTTACCATCAGGTAATCCGTCTGCTCGTTTGCCGAGCTATTACATAAAAAAAAGTAATTTTTCCTACCCGTTAAAGACACTGTAGTCAGTATCCGATTCCTACAGGAATGGATCTTACCAGTATCACTACATCCATATATGTATATACCTATCTAAGCTTAAATCTTTAAAACTACGCAACGGATTTTGATGTGGTTTTTTTTAATAGAAAGAGTGATTGAAGAGGAAGGTTTCTATGTATAGTAACATCCATTAAATAGTGGAGAAATTTAGTATCAACATTGCTTACGAGCGAAGCCGTTTCGCTAGATATATATTTTAAATTAAACCAAGGTCTTTAATAGAACTGTCTCATTTAACTACAAAATCATAGTGATACTAATCCAACATCAAGTTAATCACTTATTAATCGTTGGTTAGATTTAACCTTGAAGTTAACTGGACCGTAAGTCAAGTCTAACTGCCCGGAAAATGTTCTATCATGCAAATATCAGTTTCAACACATTGTTTTAATATAATTAATTTAACCTTACGTTTTACTTAAATAACTTCATTGTGGTTTTAAGGCTATTCGACTTAGGCCTGTTTTGGACTGGTTTTAGATTAGAAACACATTCCGTTTTAGTTACTTAGTAATATTTTTCTTAGTATGTATTTTTCAAATTTGGCCAAGCTATATTAAGTGTGGGAGAGCCGTTAGGTACATTTCTATGAAACCCGGGGCTTTTAAATGTTATTATTTTTTGTTAAACAGGTCGCCATTGAGGCAAAGGTAACAGCTGTGCTGCCTCTAATTACAAGAAAAAAATAATAATAAATTATTCCAATTTAATTATTTATTAAAAAGGTTGTTATCTAAGAAATTATTCATTGTTAATAATATTACATATCTAAGTAAAGTAATAAAAAATATGATAAGATTTTTCAGTATTATTTTTAGAGAAATACATTTATTATCGTAGTGGTTGATTGTTTAACATACCTAAGCTATTGAGTTCAATGTCCGCGCAAAAAGATTGCTACGTTCAAAAATATGATAGTTATATAACCATCTATATACATAGGTACTTATATAAAAATCATTGACACTTTTCGTCGTAATGTTACAACTCAACAATGCCTTTAACGATTTGCCTAATTTTTTTTATCTTGAATTAGACGTAGACAAAATCAAAAGTGTAAAATCGATATCCACGCGGGCGACTGCTAGTTTTTTTATAAAGAAAGCCTGCACTATATTGTTTTTTTTTACATCAATATCATTTTTTTTTTGTTTTTCTTAATAAACGAGTAAACGCTCCTCCTGATTATTTTTAAACCCTAGACAACCGAATGAGTTTATGTAATTGATAATTAATTATTTAAAATTACTACTTTTTCACTTTTATTTTGTTATAAAACGGCAAACGGGCAGATGGTAAGCAATCAGCGTCGCCTATAGAAACATATGTATACATATGTCGAATTTTAGTGTCATCCAAACTAATATTTATAAATGCGAAAGTAACTCTGTCTTTATTTTACTCACGCCTAAACTACTGAACCTATTTGTGTGAAATTTGGTATTGTCATAGTTTGGAACTCGAGAAAGGACATAAGATAACCAAAAATCTTCCACGCGAACAAAGTCGCGGGCAACAGCCAGTGTATTCTCTATTTACTTAAGAAACTATTATAAGTATTCACTGTTTGGACGGGCGTTGAAATAAAGTAAAAAATACATGATTTTAAATCCGCTTTATACTTAGTTTAAAAATAAAAACATTAAAAATAAGCGATAAGATAGACAAATTAAATTGTGAGTATCTAAATTAAAATAATAAAATAAGTGAATTAAATTTAAGAATTATATTTTTAATGGTTAGTGACCTCTTGATAGGAGGAAGACAGATAAAATATAATTTATCTTTATTTTTTAATTAAACTGACTACGATGTACGATTTTTTTTCTTGTTTTCAGAGATCGTCTCAAGGAGTTTCTACATAGATAGGACCGATGTCCGACTAGGGTTTAAGGCAAAGAATTTTAAGCTGCCCAGTTCACGTTCGGTGCAGGATCAAAAAAAAAATATATATGTATACTTGGACAAATTTGTACACTAGGCTTTATTTCATTATTTTTTCTTTTTTAATGGGTTGGAAGTATCTAATCAATATTTCAAAGTCAAAGTCAAAATCATTTATACTAATTAAACCATAAATAGGTACTTTTGAAACGTCAAAATAGAAGTCTGTCAGTCTGTTCGTCAGTGAAGCTAGGTGCTCGTTCCAAATTCAAGATTTGAATGGAGAAGAATGAACAAGAAACTCCATAGTTTTCGAATTTAAAGTGAATCTAAACCTATATTTTACGGTGTACAAACATACAAACTTGTTGATTTTTTAATATACGAATCGCTGGTTATAATAATTGATCTAAATATGGAAATATAGCAAATAATATAATCGTTCGTTACCTTATTATTATTCTTGATCTGTAAGTATAAGATTACATTTACATTATAATTCTTGTTGTGTAATTAATAATTAATTGTTAACGAAACGGATGTATTTGTTAGTCTATCAATTAATAAAATCTACATTTATTTATGTGTATGAATATTACAAAGATACAAGGAGTTTGTAGGTCTTTTGGTTGATACCTCATGGTAAGCAATCTGTAAGTGCTCGCGACAACAACGAATATGTTAGTCAAAAAAAAAACAAAAAACAAAAAATAATAATAATTAAAAATGTAAGAAGTAATCCTCTTTTTTCATTATAGATGTAGAAGTCGCAGTAGGTCGCATCATTGCGTACACCATAGGGGTGTCGAATAAAAAGAAAAAAAAATGTCATAAGAAAAAAAACAAGCGCTTAAAGAAAACATTTTATATTTATAATTATAATGATCATTCTGTAGTCTTAGCTCAATAATACCAAGGCCTCGGCTCTGAACAAGAGAAGGAGTGGATTTTTGACAGTAAAATCTTACATTCCCTCCCACTTCTGAGCGGGAGAAGTCATTTGATGATCTGCCCCCTCAAAATGAGAGTCTAACTACATACTTATTTCCATTTTGTTACTTAATAAAGTTAAAGTAGATAGGTACATAAACATATACTTTCGCATTTATAGTATTAGTAAGAAAAAGGTTTAGCAACAATACAGAAAAGAAAAACAAAACGTCTCTGTCTATGGCAATTCCAAGATGGCAGCTATCCTTAGATTGCAATTGTAAAAGCATAAACGTTTTAGAAATAAACAATATCTTATTTTTTAATATTGTGTATTCTTTCTTTTCACAGGATTACAGAATCTCGGACCTTTGGAAGGCGTACGAGGAGCCGAAGCCAACTCGCAGAGGCCCGTTGAACAGTTTTAATTAATCTAAGTATGGTAGGACATAGTCTAGGTATTATAAATTATACCTATATATTTATTATTTAACTAGCTACTTCGCCCGCTACTCGGCTCCATTTAATCGTAGCGTGATGTTTTATAGCCTATAGCACACAGGAACATCTATCAGTGAAAGAATTTTGGCAATTCGACCAGTGGTTCCAAAGATTACCCCCTACATACAAACTTACAAATTAGTATACCTATAGATAGTATAGATAACTTGGATAGTATTAATAACCTAGTTCTTAAAGGCCTTTAAACTTGATATTATTTGTATAATTATATAATATTGATTAAAGGTTTTGTTGTCAAAGCACCTAGGTATTTCCCTTAACAAATAGGAGTCAAGATAATCATTTAGGTATTAATTAAAGCCTTTAGCTTGTGGCCAGACTTGGGGAGTGTCTAAATAATAATGATAAAATAGTTGACCTAAAATGCCACTAATATAATTTAAAGGATAAACGTAAAAAAATATTTTATCTTTTAATATGTCAGTCTATTTTTTTAATAGTATTATCGGCAATCCGTTTCTACTAATATTATAAATGCAAAAGTAAACCTGTCTGTTTGTCACGCCTAAACTACTGAATCTATTTATGTGAAATTTGGTAGATACATAGATTTGGAACTCGAGAAAGGACATAGGATAGTTTTTAAAACAAAAATTTGCAGGAAGTCACTACTACTAACACGCGAAAAACGTCGCGGGCAAATTATAGTTTTATATAATAATCATTGTTATATTTATATATGAAAAAATATTATATTAAATATGATAAATAACCATAAAAAAACATACTATATTAACTGATAAAATCACATTCGCATTATTGCTTTAGGTATTGTATTCTTATTATTTTATTGTTATTACCAAGGGCGATGTTAATTCTTTTAGTACACATTTATAATTGTTATTTAGTAACTCTCAATTACTAGGAATAAAGTACTAAATAACTAACTAAATAAAATACAAATAAAGTACTTATATAAATATGATTCAAGTTTTAAATTGATATTTTTGCAATTGGCTATGGAAGTTTTAATACTAGGTAGGTATATTTAATATGATATCTATAAGTTTAGCCAATTTATCTGGAGCATGGTTGACACTAAAGAAATAACGAAACATCGTTATCGAAGTATCATTTTTAAAGAATACTACAAAATGTTGGTCATAAAAATGAATCGCTAAGAACTAGAAAGAAAATTATTGCAAATATTGTCTATTATCGAACAACTATTAAAGACACAACGTCAATACCATAAAATAAATTAATTCTTATTAATTAAACAATCATAAGCACGCGACTAAGACATTCAACAAACAACTATGTCCGTTCATTCATTAAAATAGTTTCAAGTACACGAACAGTTCAGATTAATTTTGCTTAAGAACAAAATGGCGACAATATAAAAATAATAAAATACTTACCGTTGCCGTTTTCTGACTTCTTTTTGGCCACAATAACTCCATTGTTCTCGATGGTGGTTGAAACTCCGTTAAGCTCCCTCATTTTCACGAAAGAAATTTAAAATTTACGTTAAAATAAAAAGGACTGTTTCGCGCGTTTTATAACGTCACTTTGACACTTTGGTTTGGCGCCAACTGGTGTTCGCGTTTATACAGCCAAGGTAACGCGGTATAAAAAGGAGAATGGTTTATAATTGTTTTTTTATAATAATAATTCTAAAAGGACTAGGTTGTGAATTATTGAATAAAAAATCCAACGGAGGTGTCGTTTCGGCAGCGACGTATGCAGAAATGATCGGTACTGCTCTAAAGTTTCTTATATTTATACAAAAAATACGGCGGTTTGTGTTACAGTTAACATTGTGTAAGAATCGTAGTTTAAGCCGACCGAATGGTATTGTTGTTTTTTTTTTATTTAGTTACACAATATATTTTTTTGATTGCGACATTTTTATCTTGGCTAATTAATAGAAGAGCGTTTAGATGATTTTGTGTTGTTAATATTATTTTTTTATCTTGGCCTTTGTATCCCAGTAGTGACCGATAAACCGTACACGAGGTAGTTAACGTGATTTCTTATACATATCCGTATACAAAACTAAAAGATTAAACTCGAAAATATGTTTTAGTAATTCAGGTCATATTTGTGAAGAGGTTTTATTCCAATTTAACGGTCCTGAGTTATAGTGCGTAGTACCTTTATGTTTTTCGTGCTCTGCCTAATATGGTAATTTAAAACATTTTTCTTTTAAAATTTGCGAGTACATTTCGAATACTTACTTAAGTGCATATAAATTTGTGTTCGGTACTTTCTCAAAGAAAATATTAAAAAAAAATTGGACTGTCGGAACTACAGATTATAATCAATTTTATGCCGGGATATTCAATTTTAGAATTGATTTAAATAATCGACATTGCATTTTTTAAATATATTATATGTAGTATTAGTATATTTAGAAATGCTAAAGATGTTATGTTGTGCTTAAAAGTCAATGCCGACTTTCAAAGAATTTGTTAAGAATTTCTACATAATTAGTAAGTCATAAGGACAAATATTGTTTGCAAAGTAATTCATTCGGAAAATCCATTACGAGTCGTCGGGGAATCGCATCGGTGCGTCACACAAAGTCATGCTGAGAATTAACATTGTTGAGATTTTATTTTTTTCATAATTGTTTTACGATCAATACCGACAAGCGATCTATCTAGCCAGCTTTTCGGAAACGTGGTTAGCCGGACTTACAATCCTAGAATTTACAACATAATTTGTGTAGAAAAAAATACCAACTATAAGCCAGTTACAAATTAATAAAACTCAAACAAAGAAGTTCAAACTTTGGCTACGTATTTTACTTTTTGTAATTCTAAGTATATTTGAGCCTTTAAGGTTTAATTCTCTCTAACTTCTGGGAGGGAAGTGGAAACGAAGTATTAAAAAAATCTCCTCTAAATACATTATGTCCTCATATTTATTTCGTTGCGGGATCCAAGACAACCCATGTGCCTGGTACGCTCCGGACATCAAGGATTGGGTGTTTTCATGGTGGTGTCTGCTGTAGATCCTGGCTTTCAGGAGTCGCAGTCGGTTTTAGAAGGTGGTGTCAGGCCAGCGTTTGGTTGCGAGGCAAGCAATAAGGCACCGTGGCCTCGGTCTAGAGCAGGAGAAGGAACGGGGCCATTTTTAGTCAGTAGGTAAGTGTCTAGCGGGAGAAGTCATTTGATGATTTTCCTCTCACATAAGAGAACCTCTATTTGTGATTGTATTGAACTATTTATCTGTGTGTGGAATATTCGGTTGTAAACGCTAAATATTTTAAGATCACACTTTGTGTTCGTGTTAATTTTATCAACTAAAATAAAACCGTGGTCAGCTTTAAATGTCGTTCGTAATACGTAAGTGATATTGCAAAATTAAATAGATACATATTTTTCTGTTGTCATGCAATTTATTTTTTTATGTTAAGTAAAATTATTTGAATTTAGAACATTTTTTATTTTGCCAAATCATGATGAGTGCGTTTTTTTTTCTTTTTATTAGTCAGCCATATTGTTTACCTACGTTTTTGGCGCTAAAATCGCCATTTTGAATTTTCGAACGTCATAAACAATCTTAATAAAATTAAAATATCTTTTTCCTAAACATTAAAAAAAACGTCCAATTAAATTGAATAACTTTTTTTACCCATCCTTTCAGAGATTCAAAGGTTAATCTATTAACGGTAGCAATAAAATTAATAACTATGGACAAACAATTAATGTAAGTAATTGATAACTATTGAATCGAGATTAGTGTTAAAAGCATTTTCATTTAATATTACCGATTTTAATGGGATATTTAATTAGCGAGAAACCACTGTCATCGCAGGGGAGCAATCTGTAATCGAATAGACAATGGATATTAAATTATGATTTTCCTTATTACAAAAAAAAAAAACTATTGTCTGTCGTTTTTATGTGTATTTTATCTGTTACTAGTTTGCCGCCCTCAGTGCCAGGGTAAAGTTTAGCTCATGTATCCAATCTCTATATCAGCGCCAAATCTCATCCAGTTCCGTTCAGTAGTTTTTACGTAGAAGAGTCACAAACATAATTATATCCTATATATTTAAGTGTGGGAGAGCCATGCTTCGGCACGAATGGGTCGGCTCGACCGGAGTGATACCACGGCCTCATAGAAGACCGGCGTGAAACAACCACAGCGTTGTATTTCGCCGTGAGAGTGAGGTTACCGGAGGCCCAATCCTTCCCCGCTCCCAATCCCTCCTCAATCCCTAAATCTCCAAATCCCTAATCCCTAAAAGGTCGGCAACGCACTCGTAACTCCTCCGTTGCGGGTGTCCATGGGCGGCGCTGATTGCTTACCATCAGGTAATCCGTCTGCTCGTTTGCCGACCAATTACATAAAAAAAATCCATATTTACGGAAAAATACATATCTTTGTAAAATAAATTCAAAATCAATTTTATTTCACTAACATATTAATCTATTTAGGTACTATATTCAAAAAAAGTCTTCTGTAATCGTCTTCATAAAACCTGTATCAATTGATGAAAATCATTTGACAATTTGTTTAGCAGTTTATGAGATAACCAGAAAAAGACGTATTTAAAGTATTAAACAGATATAATAATTTAGTATATTAATGAAATCAATTGTATATTTGTATAAACTTTGGGCCACTGCAAATTGATTGGTTTGAACTTGAAAGTTAATTGTAAATGCAATAATAAAATTTATTAATTACTAATTAAGAATCTTCGTTAATTAAGATAACGTTATTATGAGTGTACGAAAACATACATTCTTTGTTATGTAAGAACTTTTATAAGTTATATTAAGTATTTTTATCTTTCTATATTATACGAATAGTATACTAGCGATCCGCCCCGGCTCCGAACGGGTCCAATGCCCATACTAAATTAATTGTAATCTATACTAATATTATAAATCTTAAGAGTTTGTTTGTACGCGCTAATCTCAGAAACTACTGGATCGATTTGAAAAATTATTTTTTTGCTGAATTGATTTTATTTATCGAATAAGGCTTGAGGCTACTATATTTTATATAACACGTTATGATCTGTAGGAGCCGAGCAGCTGAAACCGCACGAGAGCAGCTACTAAACATATAAACCATCGTCTTCAAACACTCTGTCTATTAAAAAAAAAAAACATCAAAATCTGTTGCATAGTTTTCAAGATTTAAGCATACATAGGGATGTAGGGAAAGAAAAAACCGACTTTGTTTTATATTACTTATGTAGTGATAAATAATATACGTATTATTATGAGAAGAAAATAGTTGTAATTTTTTTTACATCTTTTTTTTGTATTGTTATGTTTAATAAATACATCTGTGATCAAACTAATGTTTATAATCGTTTTCATTGACACACAGATACCCTTTTTTGTGAGGGGAAAATCATCAAATGACTTCTTCCGCCCAGGGTTGGGCGCGAGGGAGTGTCAGACTCTTACTGACTAAAAAACCCCTGTTCCTACTCCTGCTCTAGGCCGAGGTCGCGGTGCCTCATTGCGCTTACCCCGCAACCCCGGCTGAACATCAGCCCTATGGGGCCCCGTCTGTGGTGGTCTATTGGCTCTTCGAGGCGCGCGCGGAACGCTACGCGCCGTACGCTCGGGTCTGGTTCTGGTCGGGCGGCGAGCTACCCTTACTCGTCGTCCGCAGACCCGCGCTTACGGTGGCCGGAGATCATCTCTCGAACACAGATACCCTGAGACACAGGTTTAAATAAATTGAGTTCAGGTGTTCCCTAGGCACTTTAGATTTTAAAGTTTATCTTTTTCTATACCATCATATTTATAATAATCTAGATTAAGTTAACTCTTCCTTATTAATGTAATTAGGTTAAAATTTATAATTACTTAAAACAATTGGGCTAGCTGTATAAAGTGTGATCTTTGTTTTTCAATAAATTTTATTATTATTATTTACTAGCGGCCCACCCCCGCTTCGCACGGGCCCAACTATCTCGCTCACAATCAAACCCCCCAATTTTCCCCTCTACTTTTTTAACATTTTCTTTGATAAGAACCTTCTCCTGATAATAATAAATACAAAACAAAAGGTTTTAGCAAAATTGGTCCAGCCGTTTTTGAGTTATGCGCTTACCAACACATTTCGCGATTCATTTTTATATTATAGATTATTGTAAAAGAAATTATTAGTTGCCGGTCTTTAAAGAGATAAGATTAAGCGTTGAAAATAATGTAGGAGAGCCATGCTTCGGAACGAATGGGTCAGCTCGACCGGAGTGATACCACGGCCTCATAGAACGTGAAACAACATTTAAGTTGTTTTTCGCCGTGTGAGTGAGGTTACCGGACACCAAATAATTCCCCTCGCCCAACCGTAATCCCTTAATCCCCTATCCTTTAATCCTTAATGAACAAAAGGCTGGAAACGCTCTTGTAAATCTTTTGTTGTCGTGAATATCTGTGGGCGGCGATGATTGCTTACCATCAGGTAATCCGTCTGCTCGTTTGCCAAGTCAGGAACACGTGTGCGTTTCCACGAGTCAACATATAGGTACTACAATATGTCAATCACCTTTCATAACTGCTGACTAGTTTTTTATAATTAGATATGTGACTCTGTAATACTATGAGTATAAATAAAATTCATATACCTACCTATAGAAATTCCTCTTTGTTTTATTTTGTTTTGTTTGTTATTTTCGCTACTGAGCTGTTCTTCTCATCCAACCACTGCCAGCCACCCTGCGGATATCGTCAGTCCACCTAGCTGGAGGGCGCCCTACACTACGATTGCCTA